CGAGAGAGGTCCACAAAGGATAGACGGGCGCCCTGGGACAACCCGGATCGATGGAGGAGCGGCACGAATGCTGCGGGAGCAGAGGGGCTTTGCACAGTTTTACTGTGATCAGCAATCGGCAGCGTGGGTGTTAGTGATGAGTCCAACGGTGCTGTACCTGAATGCTTGAAGGGTACAAGAACCCTGTCTAAAACCACCCTCGGGCGCCCCGGTTTGGCTTGGGCACCTCGTGCACATGAATAAATATTTACCTGTGTAATTCTATGCTTTTGTATCGTAGCCTCTCGCCTCGTTCGGCACAGGCCAGGTGCAAATTTCTGTGACACACGGGGTACGGGGGTCTCCCTCCTGGGCAAAGCAAGAGCCCTGCTGGCCTCAGGGCTGCGTGCTCAATGTTTGAGTTGTGAGAAGCTGCATCAATATGAACGGGGGGTTTCGCTGTAGGTCAAGAACACAGCTGAGTGCTTTCCTGTGCTGGAGCCAGAGAGCTCCGTGCCACTTGGTTCATGCCTGGCCACGCAGGAAGCCCAAAAAAAAGGGTTTCCAGCTGTCACAGCGAGGAGGTTCATGATGCCGCCTGCGTGGGGCAGCTCTGGGACTCGGTTTTACCCCAGGGAACGGGATAAGAGTACCCCTACATCCACGCGGGCTTCTTGGCAGCAGCAGGGCAAAACTGCTGCCCCTAGGAGTGCCCCCGTCCCAGCTTGCAGCCCCACAGGGTGCTGCGTCCCCACCAGCCGCTGCTTCCTGGCTCCGCGGTGATGGCCGAAGCCACCGTCCCTTGACGCTTGGGTGGGCATCAGGCGCCAGTGTGAGGGCGCGCACAGGCCAGGCTGACTCGGAGCAAGACCAGGTTTTGACAGACAGACATGTGGCTGTAAACCCCCAGAGGCATCACAGCCTGACACTGTCAGTGCCCCTGAAACGCACCTTGCCCCCCCCCGAGGTGTGGGCAGGAGCAGCTGGGCACAGGTGGCACGACAGGGAGACACAAGCTACTCCCGCGGCTGGGCACACCCTTGGGATCCCGGGGAGGGACTGAGCACCGCACGGCTGTTCCTCTGCAGGAAAGCTGGCCGAGTCACTTGGGGCCGGCTGCTTTTGGCAGCAGGGCAGGCGCGGGACGGCACGAAGGAGCTGGCGGGTGGGAGGCAGCGCTGGAGATGCACTGCGGAGCCGAGTGCCAGTGCGGAGGGCAGAGCTCTGGCGTGGCGAATAACCACCTCCCCAGCGTGGAGGCAGCTCAGGGACAAGGAATAAAAATGTATTTTGGATTGCCCTAAGCTTAAATTGAGAAGGTGACTCATATGTTTCAGCAAAATGGAGGACGAAACCTGAAGAAGCGAACTCATAGCTCGATCAGGCAGCATCTCTGGGCCGCCCCTGCCGCCACCGACGTCATCATGGAGCTTGTCATCCGTCTGCCCTGAAAGCTTTGCTCTCCCTGCCATGTCCCCGATGTCCTTGAGAGCCAGATGGGCTGGCCGCCGGCGACAGAGCTCCTGCTGGTGGGGGGAGTGAATGGCCGATAGCGTTAGATCGGCCAAGTGGGGGGACATGGGGGCTGAGCCGTGGGAGGTGCATTAGGCGGAGGTGGGAGCGGGCCCCTCTCAATTTTGCCACCACAGGCGAGCGCTCTGATGCCAGCAGCCGCCTCTTGCAGGTGGCTCAGAGTTTGGCAGCTCCTCAGGAAAAACATGGGGCTCTCTGTGTGTAGCGGGGAGATGGGGGCTGCCGAAAAGACGCGGGACCCATGTGTTTGTTCCTCCAAAAGCAGCTGGCGCTTGAGGCTGGGTGGGCACTGGCATCGCTCTGGCATTAGCGGGCCCAGGGAATTCTCCCGGAAGCCACCTCCGGGGCTGGGGGAAGCTCTTCTGCACATGCTGAGCAGCGGCCTGACACCAGAGCCGCTGCCGGCCGGCTTGGGATGCCGTAGGAAGCATTCGCTGAATGATTTCCATTTGCAAAATGCTTTGTTCATTTGCCCTGGGCTCATCCATGAAGCAACGCTTGGGCTACAGAGCATCCCGGCGGCACAGGCAGGGACCCAGGGCGAGCACCCATGGGCGGGCACCCCGTCAGCGGGAGTGGGCAAGGTGCCGACGGGCAAGTTGGGGGAGACCAAAACGCTGCTCTGATCCTGCCGGCCTTCCCGCTCCCTCTCCTTATTTGTCTCTGAAGGGTATTTTCAAACCCTTCAAGATGGCCTCAAGCGGTTTCCAAGGCGACGGTGCTAAAGTCGTCACTGCCATGGAAACCCTCGCTTTGGCATAATATAAATATTTCCCTTGAAGGAGGCTGGATGAGTGGGCGATGTGCTATTTTCTAGCACTCCGTGGCTGCAACGGGACAATCTCCAGGAGATGGTGTGGGGCCGGGGAGGATAAAATTAGCTCGCCATGCTGGCCAGCAATGGAAAGGGGAGATTGCCAGCATTTCGGTGCAAAACCTGGGCTTGTTTGTGTCAGTGGGGTCCACATGCAAAAGATGTACTCTGCAGGGAGAAAAAGAAAAGAAAGGGCGGGGGGAGGAGGAAAGTAAGGTTGAAACCAGTCACTTTTTCTTGTCCTTCTTCAAAGTTTTCCCTTTTTTCCCAACCCCTCTGGTCAGCACAGGCAGACGGGGGTCCTGGAGCAGCCTCGTGTGGGGCGAAGACGGCCGAGCCTGAGCAGGCCTCTCCTGGGAGCAAGTGCATGGCCGAGGTGCTTCATTTTACCTTTAATTGCCTCCTTTCCCTCTCATCAGCTAGCCGACACCTCCCCTTGAGTCCGGGGAGCAGAGCCTGCCTGCAGCCCCAAGCATCGGCGGTGGAGCAGGAGCCCCCCGGACGCCCCCTGCGCCACGGTGTCCCCCACACTGGGGCTGCCTGTGAAGGTGGTGGCTCTACCCAGGGCCCCCTGTCCACCTGGGGCACATCCCCAAAATGGGACTGCTGCGTGCCAGGGGACAGAGACCTGCTGGGCGTCCCTGCTGCCGCCCTGCCATGCTGGCTCTTGGCAGCCATGGGCCAGGGGGGGAATTTCCGAGCTGCGGTGGGAGATCCTGGCATGGCAGAGCGGGTGTTTTCCTAAACAGGGATGGCTGCATTCATCACCCGGGCTGAGCAGGGAGGAGGTGCTGGCAGCGCGATGGGAGTTGGGGATGAGGCGTCCACAGAGCCCGTCTGCCCGGGCTGGCACGGAGGCGTAAATGCCGCCCGTCCCTGAGCAGACGGCGCCGCTCGCAGCCGCACTCCAGGCAGATCCCAAAGGGCTTTCCTAACAAATGAAACCCCCACCGAACGCAGGCATGTTCCCAGGCCTGGAGCAGCTTTCCTGGAAGAAGGGGGATGCTCTTGCCTTGCTGGGCCACCAAGGCTATTTTTAAATTGCTGCAGCAGCCGGCGGATGGGGAGACACGGCGTGGTGAAGCTGATCGCTGCCCTTTGCCAGGGGTTTGGGATGAATGTGGGGCTCCAGCCGGGTGGGAGGATGGGGGCTTGCCCTCTGAACCCCCCGCAGCACCCCAGAAAGCCCCCCAGGAGGCAGATGACCGCCCCAAGCCCTGTTTGCCCTCCCAGCCCCAGGAGGTGCTGCCAAGGGTGCTGGGGCTATCAGCATCAGCCCCCAGCACCTGCTTTTTCCTATTCCTCCCTTTGGAAAAAAACAAAAACAATCCAAACCCAGGGCAAACAATTAAAATGTTCCAGCTGCTGGCTCGGAGCAGCAATCCCAGATAAAACCCCAAGGATCCACCA